AAAATGCATCTGGGAGGCTTTGGACGCCATAAATAAAGTCAGATTGTGCTTTTTAACACAAAATTATACAAATAATCAGTCGAAAATCCAAAATCATGCTAGCAGTGCTTTTTGGGACAAAATGTAAAAAAAAAAATGCTCGCGAAGCCAAATAATGCCAAAAAAAGTGCTAGTACTATCGGTAAGAGCCTAGGAGCGGGGAGAGAGGAGAGAGGAGTGGGGAGAGGGGAGAAGGGAGAGGGAAGAGGAGAGACGGGATAGGGGAGAGGGGAGAGAGGAGAGAGGAGAGAGGAGTACGGGGAGGGAAGAGGGGAGCGAGGTGCGGGAAGAGGGGAGCGGGGAGGGGGAATGGGGAGAGGGAAGAGGAAGAGGGGAGAGGGGATAGAGGAGAGGGAGAGGGAAGAGGGAAGGAAGGGAGCGAGGAACGGGGAGCGGGAAGAGGGAAGAGGGGGAAGGGGAACAGGGAACAGGGAACAGGGAAGAGTTGGAGAGGGAGAAGAAATAAAGTACGTAGAAATAAGGCAAAAACAATTGTGGGAAGGGAGAAAAAAAGAATGAAAGAGAGAAAAGGAGACAAACAAAAAACCAAAGATCAAGTAAGGAAGAAAAGAATGACAAAAAGAACAAAAAGAAAGAAGCAAGAAGAAAAGACAGGAAAAAGAAAAGTAAAATGAACAAAGGCAGAGCATGCAAAAAGACAAAGAGAAGGAAAGGGAATTAAAAAACAAAAACGAAGAAGAAACAGGAAGAAGATACATGTTTAAGCAAGGCCGAATAAAGGAAAAAAAGACAAAAAAAAAAGACAAAAGAAAGAAAGAAAGGTGAAAAGTGAATAAGTAGGAAAGAAGGGCGTAAAGGCAAACAATTGAATATTTAGTATCCTCGTTTGTATTCATTCATGTTTTTTCTTGTTCTGTTAAACAATGTTGGCAGATAATTTTTTCCCTTTTCTGTAACGTTTGTCAACATGAATGTAGTTTTTTTCCAGTTTTTACTTTTCTATTCTGTAGCTAGCTTCAGCGAAAACTAGCAAACATAATGGGCTAACCTGTTTAAATATGATCCTTTTGCACTTTGTTCCACTGGTCCAGGGGTTCAAGGAAGCAGTTCCCAACTGGGATCCATGTGGAGGAGATTGCAAAGCGATCCAGTTCACTTCTGTTGTACCATTTGATCCTGCTCCATACTCCAAAACACACACGGTAAATCCACTGGTTGTAACATCCTCTACCCAGATTGCAGCGCCATAACGAGGAATTGGACTCTTGACAGAGTGGCCAACTGAGGCAAGAACTTTAACCTGCTGCCCGCTTTGGAAAGGAAATTGAAAAGAGACCTTCTTACAAGCAAACAACCCAGGTGTAAGGGTTGTTACGTTGCCAACTAAGTTCTTCAGTTACAGTTAATCATAAGCCATGGGTGTGTTGAATCCACCCATGGCTTATTATTAACCTAATTTGCATACATTTTTTCCTCGGGCAAAGCTCGTCATGTTTTCCAGTTTTGAAACCGAGCGCTGTGAAAAGAATGGATTCAAGCAAAATGATTACTGTCAATTGACATATTTCTAAGATATACCCTAAGACACAGAACCTATAATTTCACCGAGAGACTTATTTGGAACCCTTTTCCCAAATGTATGCCCTATTCTTATCATTAGTTCACTCAAATTTCAGTTCTACAGACATTCGCTTTCTAAACAAAGAGGAGAGAAAAACGGGAAGAAAATGAGGAACGTTAGTGTATCATACCTTGGCTGGTTTGAAATTCAAGAACGACCATTAAGAAATTAAAGAACAACTGCTTCAGCGGGAGATGATGCTCGGAGGACATCTTGCTAAAACTGAGTGAACAATTTGCTTTTATGATACCTTAAACCCCACGTCACTGTTACACGATAATTCGCGCTTACGAGTGCAGATAAATATTAATATCAGAGGGGAAAGGACGTGGAGGACTGAGTAGAAGGTGTTCCCGTAATTAAAAGAATGCATGTGGGGGAGATGGGGAGCGAGTTTTACCGCGTAATAAAAGCTTTTGGCTTCACATTCATCACGGAGCTTGTTTTGAACACGAATAGCGAAATGGGAAAACGGCGAAATGACGAATTGTCGAAAAGGCTAAACGACAAAACGACGAAACGATGAAACGGGGAAACGACGAAATCGCGAAATAACATTTTTTTTTTTTCACTGAAATCCGCATAATTGATTTAATCTGTTTAAACTATAAGGGAAGGAAATAAATCCCGACAAATTAAAGAACTTCATAATAAGGGATATCTATACAAGAAATACTCACACATTCAAGAGACGATGATCTATCGTCTCTTGTACATTTTGATGTTTTTAATGCTCGGATCGAAGATCTTTCCAACCACAAATTCTCCGTCACGCGATATGTCAAGCCATCCTTGTTGTCACGGCCCTTTTGGGTAATTTTGGCAGGCATAATGTTTGGCATTGGAATTAAATGATTTGTTTATCTGGCGTTTGTCGGATCAACAACGTACGAGATATGCTTAGTAGTGCTGACATGCAAGTACAAAATGAAAATAAATATAATTAAGTTTTGCGAAAACTTTTCACTCATCTTAATACATTCAATTGGGCACTTTAAAATATAACATAACCGAACCGAAATTGAAACCTCAAACGGTTGAAACCTCAGAAGGTTTGAAGCGATCTTCTTCAGAAAAAATCAAGAGTTAGACTCGGGATATTGTGCGGTTTTTAACACATATAGAATTTTTAGGATTTTCAGTAAACGTGTCGTTTGCTACCACGATACTTCGGGAGCACAGAGCAGCTAACTTTAACTAACGTAATATACTTTTAGTGACTGTCCTGTAAATTGAACTCGGGTGTTGAACAACAAAGTTTTCCTAGATGGGCTGGAAACCGTAGGGTTGGAATATTTTCAAATGTAAAGGTCCTCTATAAACCAATTTTCATTATATCTATAAATAGTATTGCGAAGGGTCCAACAAATATTTTTGACAAAACTTTTCTCTGGGTAAGTGGCAGGTAAAAATCAATTGCCCAGGAGTATGTGCTGGTTGCCCCATATCACGATGGCAAACTTCTAGCGATTGAAGTCTGGCAAAGCCTATTCACGTAAATTAGAAGGCAGAATATAAGACAGCCAAACAAATACACGACATGTTTTTGAGAAATAAACTAAAGTCACAGAACTTGTACCTATCTTTTATTGTCCTTGTACGAGGAAAATTACTTAGCCAGCCCGTTTGGAAAACTCATCGGTATTTTTTACGGTGTAAACAGAATAAATCAACATATGGAGATTTCAGTAGACTGACAAGATTATCATTTCACCATTTTTCACGCCCTTTATTACGTTTTGCTCAACGAATTTGGAATTTTAATTTTAACCTTATAAACAAATTAACCTTGACTTTCTCAACTTGAACTTTGTAGATTATACTTTCCAGCCAAGAAGTTGAAGGTGTCTGAAAAAGTTTGTGGCAAATAATAAATATTTAATTTATATGCAGCAAATATAATACTCGAGAGCGAATTTTATCTGAATTTGCAACGTAGATGTCCAGTCCTGCAAATTATATTTGTAGACACTAAACAACGGCGGTGAAGGAGCGATCTGAGTCCAGGATAAATCACATTAAACACTTTCATTCCTAATATTTTTCATTTAATGTAGCTTAAAATTTTGTCATGACATGAACGTTTCATCTGTAAACAGTACATCTGAACATTTTCCCATGCCGAATCTGCACTGTATAAATTCTTAGCTATGAAGCGGCTTCTAGTTAAAAAAAAAAATCGATCTTTCTCGTTCGCGTTATCAGATGCATGAGAGTAAAGATCGGACCAATGGACGATGAAGCGTTTTTCATCAAACAGATCGATAACAAAAACCGCAGACATGACTCATTCAGCCATTTATATTCTCTCTAAGCTTGATTTTGCGCATATAAACACTCTCCAGACTTACCTTTACCGTTGACAGGCGAGTTCATTCATTTGAGATGCTGCATATATACCCGGGTTCAAGCGATGATTTTAGTTCTCCTAACTGAAGTTTATATTTTCTCTTCTTAGCTGTACGGGTCCTGACGTGTTGTTAAGTGAGTCACCAAAGGTTTTAGATTAGTGTTGCATTGTCATATTATGACATAACTGTCAAACAAGTCATCTTTGCGTCGGCTATTGGCATGGTAATTACTGCGAAAATTTTCTGTCGATGAATTTTTAATTTTTGACATATTTCCTTCAGAGGTGACTAAATTCCTAAATTTACAGACTTACTTGTGTGTCAGGTGCAGTTAGGTCACCCTACACTGTTCACAGCCTCATTATATTCAGGCACGCGAAAGAAAAAGCGAGCGAAGCGAGCGCGAAGCACGCGGGGGTGGGGGTGGGGTTTGCGTTTTGCGCTGGCGTCCAGTTCTCTCGCGATTCTATCCGCGTGTTCAACAACCGAATAAAAATACGAGAAAAAAGAGGGCTATGAACAGTCTAAGTTCACCCGGAAAGCAATTTCAGGAAACCATACTGTGAGATTGATTGACTGATTGATTGATTGATTGATTGATTGATTGATCGACTGATTAATATATTTTATTGTTTCAATTTCGCTCTTCTCTAAACAATAACACTTGACGTATATACAGTATATATACAGTATATACACTGTCACAATATTCTTAGAAGATTTCACAAATGGATCTAATGGAGTTACCGAAAAAAATGATGACTTCCCTCGAGAAAAATGAGCACTAGAAAACACTAATTAATTATTACATTAGCTGTTGTTCAAAATCGCACAGTTAAAACATTATTGATATTGATTGATCAATATATGATTATTTTAATTTATTTATAGAGGACCCAGAGGTATCACAATCATTATTTTTGGGTACATGCAGTCCGAGATTATATATTTCAACTCTACAAAGTACCAGTGTTCATTCTTACTGACAAGTTATACCATACATTTTAGGGACCGTTCATTTTTTATAAGGTAGGGGGGGCTGGTGGGATTTAGG